TTTCATTTATTTTAAATAATTCTTATTTAAAAAGAAAGTATTAGGTAAATTTTTGAGCACTATCTACCAGGTACTTTTCTAAAATGTTTTACAAGGAACAGTTTATTGTTCCTGCTTAACAACTCTGTGATATAGATATTACTATTATTATCTCAATTTTCATATGAGAAAATGGAGGATCAAGAGAGGTTAGGTAACTTCAGTTCAGTTCAATTAAGTCACTTAGTCGTGTCCAACTCTTAGCAACCCCATGGACTGCAGCATGCCAGGCTTTCCTGTCCATCACCAACTCCCAGAGCCTACTCAGACTCCTGTCCATCAAGTCAGTGATGCCGTCCAACCATCTCATCCTCCTTTGTCCCCTTCTCTTCCTGCCTTTAGTCTTGCCTATCGTCAGGGTCTTTTCCAATGAGTCAATTCTTCACATCAGGAGGCCAAAGTATTGGAGCTTCAGCTTCAGCATCAGCCCTTCCAATGAATATTCAGGACTTATTTCCTCTAGGATGGACAGGTTGGATCTCCTTGCAGTCCAAGGGACTCTCAAGAGTTTTCTCCAATACTACAGTTCAAAAGCATCAATTTTTCGGCACTCAGCTTTCTTTATGGTCCAGCTCTCACATCCATACATGACTACTGGAAAAACCATAGCTTTGACTAGATGGACCATTGTTGGCAAAGTAATATCTCTGCTTTTTAATATGCTCTCTAGTTTGATAATAACTTTTTTTTACAAGGAGCAAGTGTCTTTTAATTTCATGGCTGCAGTCACCATCTGCAGTGATTTTGGAGCCCAAGAAAATAGTCTCTCACTGTTTCCCCATCTATTTGCCATGAATTGATGGGACTGGATGCCATGATCTTTGTTCTTTGAATGTTGAATTTTAAGCCAGCTTTTTCACTCTCCTCTTTCACTTTCATCAAGAGGCTCTTTAGTTCTTTGCTTTCTGCCATAAGGGTGGTGCCATCTGCATATCTGAGGTTATTGGTATTTCTCCTGGCAATCTTGATTGCATCTTGCCTGGCATGAAGATTGCATCTTCATCCAGCCTGGCATTTTGCATGATGTACTCTGCATATAAGTTCAATAAACAGGGTGACAATACACGGCCTTGACATACTCCTTTCCCAATTTGTAACCAGTTTGTTGTTCCATGTCCGGTTCTAACTGTTGCTTCTTGACCTGCATGCAGATTTCTCAGGAGGCTGATAAGGTGGTAACTTGCCCAACTAATATATAAGGAGAAATGTATAATGAAGGATTTTTATATTATACTCAAGGGCTATGTTATCATCAGGTGACTTTTATTGAATTTACTCAGAAGAGATTTATTTAAGGCCAGGTACTCTGTGTGCCGGGTACTCTGCTCGAATCAAGAGACAGTTACGTCTCTTCACAATGCCAAGCATCTGGATATACAACTGTTGTTCACATCCACATATATATAAATACTTGTTTTATTAATTCAGTAATTGATGCCAAGTACCTATTCTCTGCAAGGTATTGTCTAGCAAGCACTATGTCAAATATCTGGCATTTTGACAAGAAACCTATATTTTATTATAATGTTTCTACCTATTTAAAAAAACCAATTAGGCTTCACCTCTTCAGCTGTATTGAAATGCCATTGATATTCCATGCCTCTCTGCAGAAAGCTTCTGTTACAAGATTTGTAGTGATGAACAAAAAAAAAGATAAATACTGAAATTTTACTTTAAAAATTTACTTTTAAATGAAGGTTTTATATGAAGAAAGGAAACTAGAGGACCAGAAACACACTCTTTACTACTTTAGTCCTCTATTGCCATGGTCCCCAACCTTTTTGGGACCAGGGCCCAGTTTTTTGGAAGTCAATTATTCCATGGACCAGGGGCAGAGGTGATGATTTGGGGATGATTCAAGCATGGTACATTTATTGTGCACTTTATTTCTATCATTGTTACATTGTGATGTATGGAAAAATACTTATACAAATCATCATAATGCATGAATCATATCATCAGGCATTAGATTCTCAAAAGGAGCATGCAACCTATATCCCTCCTGTGGACAGTTCATAGTAGGATTTGTACTCCTATGAGAGCCTCCACTGATCTGACAGAAGGTGGAGCTTAGGCATAATGCTTGAGATGGGGAGAGGCTGTAAACACAGATGAAGTTTAGCTGGCTCACTGGCCACTCACCTCCTGCTGTGCCACCCAATTCTTAACAGGCCACAGAGTTGGGGACCCTGCTCTATTGGAAATACTGAGTTGACTTTTCTCTTGTCCTATTCTTTCAAAGATGGCTGCGTTCTAGAAAACTATTGCCTTCTTGTTTGATAAATACTTTTTTCATGTGTATACACAGATTCAATTTTATAATACATTTCTACCTATCTTGCTTGAAATTAGGAGTAAGTTGACCTTCTTTTGTTATTTAAAATTGTTTTATGGAAGGTGGGAATGCCATTGACTCTAAACAGTTTTATAACTGAGAGATGTATTTCGATAACCAATGAGAAATAGGATTAAATTTGAGTTGAAGTCCTGGACTGTGAGTGTTCCCATAACCACATTAGGAAAATTTTGCCATCTTAGAAAATGAGCAGTTATCCTTTGGGACAGACAGCTGAGTTCTTAGATTTAGGTGGAGAATATTAATGGAGTAGATTAATAAGGAGTTAGCTCTTTTCTGAGAATCTGCTTGTTATGCCATTCTCTTAAAACCTAGGCTTTTCTTTAAAATCATGAAAAATTTACTTTTAAATCATGGTTTTATATGAAAAAAGACATTCTGTAACAAAATAAAGGACTCTATATGTAATCATGCTGATAAAAATGTTGGTGATGTATAATCTATTTAAACTCCACAGTTTTTATTACAGTTTGTGATGTTTGCAAATAAATGTGCTTCCATGCATGCTTAGTTGCTTCAGTCGTGTCTGACTCTTTGTGCCCCTGTGGATTATACCCTGCCAGGCTCCTCTGTCTATGGGAGTGGGTTGCCATTCCCTCCTCTGGGGGATCTTCCCGACCAAAGGATCAAACCCTCATCTCCTCCATTAGGGTAGATTTTTTACCACTGAGCCTCTGGGAAAGCCCTTGCAAGTAAATAACGCTTTTTAAAATCATTAGCTATTATCCAAAAACCTATTATTATGGAATCACACGTTGAAGTCCTCAATAACTGTTCCAGAAAAACTAATTTCTATTATCACACAAAGATGATTGCTGTTTTGAATAGAGAACTTCATATTTCTAGAAAAGTTAAGATATTGCCTGACATTGTTATGATTTACAGATTCTCAAATAGAGGTACTATAATTCTTTGAAAAATAATTTGCTTTCACTTTTTCAGAGATTTTACTTTCTCTCTGGCAGAAATGTGGTTAATTAGAAATCTCAAGAACTAAGAACTAGAGGATTGGCATTCTAGTCCTCAGTGTTACACTAACTAGTTACATGTCAAAAAGCAAATAACTTAAAACAAGTCTATTTTTTTAAAGTCTTTTAAGTCTTAAAAAAAAGTCTTTGTTTTGTTGCTTTTGAAATTGGGGGGAGCCATATGCGTTCTTCACGCTACCCTTGTGGCTTAGCTGGTAAAGAATCTGCCTGCAATACAGAAGACCTGGGTTCAGTCCCTGGGTTGGGAAGATCCCCTGGAGAAGGGAAAGGCTACCCACTCCAGTATTCTGGCTTGGAGAATTCCATGGATGTACAGTCCATGGGGTTGCAAAGAGTTGGACACAAGTAAGCAACTTTCACTTACTTACTTATAGCTCCTAAACTTGTAAAAAAATTCAACTGTCTGGATGCAGATGTTCTTTGAAGAGATCAATGTGATAAACAAATATAATGTGTGCTTTGAGGGGGAATTTATGGGGGCCGGATGAGTTTGTAAAATATTGATATTTGCTGGATTTCATTGCATGCTTCCCTCTACGTCATTGTTTACAATATAAAATGTGTCTATTCTTTGCAGTTATATTTATGCTTACTAATTAGCTTCCCTTGTGGTTCAACTCGTAAAGAATTCACCTGCAAAGCGGGAGACCTGGGTGTGATCCCTGGGTTGGGAAGACCCCCTGGAGAAGGGAAAGGCTGCCCACTCCAGTATTTTGGCCTGGAGTATTCCATGGACTGTATAGTCCATGGTATCACAAAGAGTCAGACACAACTGAGAGACTTTCACTTTCACTTTCACTAATTAGTAAATGTGTTTGCCCCACTCTGTCCCATGAATTGAAAGGATAATTATCCTTTTATTATTTTATAAATAAAATGCTTTTATTATATAGCAAGTCTGCACTGACAAGCATAGTAGGTGTCCAATAAGTAATTGTTGGATGAATGGAACCAGACTCCTTAAATGTGCTAGGCCTTCGCTGTGTACACTATTCATTTGTACTTACACTCTTAAAACTCCTGGAATTAATGTTGATTTAAATTTTTACAGAGTTCTTTGGAATTTAGATATGCTACACAGTCAAATTTAGAGATCACATCTGTGAATATTAAAAAAGTTAATGGCTCACTTCTTCATAATCACTCTTGTCCGACTTGAAATCCAAATATTTTTTATTGGCAGGGGAGGGTTCAGTACCATTCAGTATGCTGTATAGTACTCTGCTATACTGATAAATGATTTTTCTCTTCTTTTTTTTCTCTTAGAGTACCATCCAGGGCTAAGCGATTACGTGATAATGTTTGAGAGAATGAGATTCATAATCAGATAAACCTAGGTTCAAGTCCCAGTGATACCACTTCCTAGTTACAAGATTTAAAACAAGCTGTTAATTTTGCTAAGCCTATTTCTGTAATGTGTGCCTAATTATTCTTCCACAGTGGGATTATTGTAAGGATTAAAGGTGGTAATATACTTAAAGTACTTGGCATGATACCTAACACATAATAACCTTTAGCTGTAGCTGTTATACTTTACATAGTTCATCTTCTAAACAGTTTTTTTTTTTCTATTTTGTGTGTCTTCTGTGTATCTGTATATGTGTTTCCTTTTACAGATGGATATACAACCGATGACATTGAGTTTTATTGGCGTGGGGATGATAACGCAGTGACAGGAGTAACCAAGATTGAGCTTCCACAATTCTCTATTGTAGATTACAAACTGATCACCAAGAAGGTTGTTTTTTCCACAGGTTTGTATCGGGGGAAATGGCTAAGAGAAAAGGGGATTTATCATATTTTTCCAGAAGAGTTCACTTATATCAGGATTGGGTCCCAGGAAAGAATGGGGACTCTAGAAGACTTAGGTCTGTGAAAATGCTCAATTCCCCAACAAGCCCATTTGGAAACCATCCAGTTATTTTCAAGGAGGTAGCCATAGTAAAGCAAATGTGTCTCATATACTAGAGGAGGGAATAAGTGTTAGAGAGGGAGTATGCAGAGAGAAATGACCCAGAAACAACCTGGGTCAGATTTGTTCCCCCAGCATATAATCACAGAATTGATTATAATTCTTTGAAACACACTGAGGACAGCCAAGTCACAGTTTGCCCAGGTCTGACCGCAGTGAAATTCTCTAAAGACAGTAGGATACGAGGATGTCACATTTTTCTTAGAGGGCAGGACTTTCCTTATGTAGCCTTATCTACCGTTCGAAGCTAGAAGATTTTCCAGATGTTTAGATTGTCTCGATGCCTTTACCATCTTACTCTTCGAGAACTGAGGTCAGGCCTGTTTTAGTCAGCATGGTTTTTAACCAAAAAGCCCAGGAATGTAATAATTTTCTCCATACTCACTAAAAGAAAATTAATAAGCCCCCAGGAATATACCTCTTTTTATTTTTCTTATTGAAATGAATTCCTCAAGCACAGAAATAGCTAGTACTGTAACTGTAGATCTTGAATTGTCCTTCTGCTAAGGACTCAGGTACTTCCTGTCCCTGACAATTACTTCAAACAAGAATACAAAATAGCCTCCAGCTTTACAAAGAGAACAACAGAAACTTTTCCTAGATATGAAGTCCTCTGAACCCCTGAGACACCATGGAAATGAGTTTCTACTTAAAATATTTTTACTTTAATATGAACATACTTGCTTCAGCTCATGAGGGCTAGACAAGGCTTTCTTTCAATTAGTAAGAATATTCTCCCCTGCCCTACATGTACACACCCTGTTTATCAGTGTGACTCTTTTATGTTTTAAGACCATGTTCTGTTACGTATCTTGTTTAAAATATAATTCCCTAGATTCCCACCATCAAAGGACCCAGTTTCAAGAATCTGATCCTTTAATTATATCTCCCACAAATATTGCTCAGGAGAAGTGACTCTCCATTCACATTTTGGTGGGTCAAGAATCCCTTTGTAACTTTGATGGAAGCAATGAAATCAGAAAAAATACTGCATGCACATGAAAATGTCACAAAATTTCAGGGAGTTGCTATACCAACTGAAGCCTTACCACTGATCCTCACCTTAAAATGCATCCAGGGGCTGTTGAAGAGATGTCTTACCCTTCAGTCAAAGTGTGCATCCTTATTCTTATGTATAAAAATGGACAGGATGGACTTGCTGAGAAACAATTAAAAGGGGAACAAAGGGACTGTCTCAAGGTGTCTTATCATTACAGTTGTAGAGAATGAAAACCTTTGATTCAGTGTAGGAGGCTGAGCAGGGAAGAGCTGGAATTCTTTTAATTACTGGTGAGTGTGGGATATGTTCAACACTGAGTAAGTCTTGCTAATTAAAAGCCCTGTTTTCTCAACTACTTTTGTATAAGGAAGTGCCCTTCACCAGAAGCTAAATTGAATGTAGGGAAGAAATATAAACTGTTTATGGGTCTTTAAAGGAAAGTATACTATAAATACTGACTGATAATGATGATGTTTTATAATTGTCTTTCTAGGTTCCTATCCCAGGTTATCCCTCAGCTTTAAGCTTAAGAGAAACATTGGTTACTTTATCCTGCAGACATATATGCCATCTATCTTGATCACTATCCTCTCCTGGGTCTCCTTCTGGATTAATTACGATGCTTCAGCTGCAAGAGTGGCATTAGGTAGGCGTGGATCCGACCACTTGCAGCATGCGCCTATGTGTGTTTATGCACTGGTGTACTTTTTCCTTACCCTCAAGTTGGTGATGCGTGACGAGACCTGACTGCACACATTACAAGAATTTGGACATGAGACATTGGATGATCTGATTCAGCGTTTAAATCAATTGAACACTAATTAAAACTCTTTCATGTCAAAATTAGTTAACAATATAACTGTCAGTAATGAAATTAGTCGCATCTGCTGGATATTTTTATTGAAGCATAGTTCATGTAATATTGCTTGATAAATTGTTCAGTTTTTATCTGTGTTTTCTTACCTGCGAAGAGCTATCTTCCATCTCTTTTTTTCTGAGTAAGAAACAAAGAAATGCAATGTGTAGCAAATCAGTGAGCAGAAAGAATTCTAAAGGTTGATTAAGGTTTTGGAATAGCATGACAGGGGAAAAGAGACAACAAAGTATAAGAACATTGGGAAATCATCCATGGCATCACTTATCTTATGCTTTGGTGTTTTTCCATTATAACATCAGAGGAAGAGGATAAATTACAGTTCATGAACATTTTTATGTTGTAAACTCAAGATATAGAAAATGTATTACCTTTTCCATGATCTTTATTATTTTAAGTTCTGACTAATCCTTATAAAATGTAACGCTGTTAACTGCTCCACCAGTAAATCACAGTTAAATTAGTATTTCCTTAGCAAAGTCATTTATTTATTCATTCAACAACATTTTTTGTATACCTACTACGTGTCATACATACGAGGCACTGGAGATAAAACCAGTGCCCTTCTGGAAATTATGTGCTAACAGTAAAAGGTAAAAAGTAAATTTATTTTGCATATAATATGCAAATTACATAATATAGTAAACAGGAAGTAAGCAAAAGAAGGGGAGAATACTGGGGGACAGTTTAGCATCATCAGGGTAGACTTCATTCAGTAATGGCTAATGGACAAAGACTTGAAGAAGATCAAGTCACATAAATGTCTAAATGAGACTATTTCAGCAAGATGAAAAGGCCCGCAGGTAGAAACGTGCCAAACAGGTGAGCAACGTGACCAGTAGGTGGGTGCAGATTGAATTTTGGCATACAGATGTCAGGCAGAGGGAACTAAAAGATGTTGAAGTGGTCCAGGGGCCATCATAACATCTTTACTTTTATTCTGAGTGAAATTAGAATCACTGAACAAAGTGACATGATTTCGCATATTAAGGAATAACTTTGGGAGAATTGATGACCTTAGACTGAATCAAGTTCGCTGTGGTATAGTCTCCTAAAATACTGTAGAACACTCTTGGAAACCAATGACAGTTATAACTTATATTTATTTGGTGTGTGATATCCTTTTTCTTCATAGTATTGAAGATACCTTGGGGGAAGGCCCATATCTAACTATGCTCCAGTTATATCTGTAGTGTCTCACAGTGAATGGTGTTCAGTAAATATTTGCTGAATACAGTAATGAATGGAACTTGTAAATATCCTGTTATTCCAAAATAAAAGTCTCTTTTTCAATTTTATGCCTGTTACAGGAATAATAAGTAAGTTATTTACTTTTTAAAGAAATGTTTAAAATGTCTTTTACGTGAGTAGTTTGTTACTAGGTCAGAAACACCTTAACATAAAATTTAGATAAGTAGTGAAATCAGTATTGTCAGTTTTGTAATATACATGTAATAGTCATACAAGATAAGCTCTAGATGAAATAATGAAAAGTGAAATTGGAAAATGTATCAAAATGTATCAAAATGTATCAAAATGACTAATACAGAAAAGATATGAGAACTATAAAACACCTAGATCTAAAGTATCAACCATGGTGTTTCTGGCCATTCTCAGAATCAGATTTATTTGATTTATTTATATGCTTTATATTTATATTTATATGCTTTATATATATATATATGCTTTATATGCTTTATATTTATATTTACTTATTTGCTCAAATTTATTTTTTCTGCACCTGTTTCATGAACATGTAGACAAACAAGACAAAAAGTATGATTGATCTTATTAGAGAGACACAATTAAATCAGAAAACATATGTTCCTAAAAAAATAATAGAATTGAAAATTAGCATTGGGCTGTCATTGGGTAGTGTTTTAACGACACGGGTTTTGGAGTTAAGAGAGATCCCAGTTCAGATGTTGACTCCACAACTTCACATCTGTGTGATCTTGACTTCTGATTCCTATTTTCACATCACTCTTTTGCTACAAAACTGGACCTTATCAAACCTCAGGACTTTGAACTTCCAGTGCTCTTATCCAGCATTTCTCTGTCTGTCCCTCCAGTTATAGCTTTGAGGGAAACTACTCCTCACTGTTGAAGATGCTCCCTCAGCTGGGCAAACAGTTATAACCTGAGCTAGTGTGGCATTTCCCATAAAGTATCTTGAGATACTTCTGTATTGTTAATCTGTGCGTTATGTGCCTACATTCCCAACCCCAAAACACGAAAGCTAGATACCTGCTTCCTGTTACTTTCCACCTCTAGTTTCCATATTTTTGCCCTTTGTTCATAGCATCTATTCATTGATTTCAATACTAATACTATTACTATTATTTGGGGGCTTCCCAGATGATGCTAGTGGTAAAGAATCCACCTGCCAATGCAGGAGATGAAAGAGACGCAGGTTCGATCTCAAGGTCAGGAAGATCCACTGGAGTAGGAACTGGCAACCCACTCCAGTGATCTTGCCTGGAAAATTCCATGGCCAGAGGAGCCTGGTGGGCTGGAGTCCATGGGACTGCAGAGAGTTAGCCATGATTGAGCAACTAAGCATGCACGTGCGCGCGCACACACACACACACACACACAATTATTTTATTTCCCCTTCATTACTTTCTTATTCTGAAAGACTCTAAGCTGGCATTCTATTTCCTGTCTTGTAAGCTTCCCGTCTGTGCTCCACTCTGATGCCAGAGCTATTGTTCTAAACACAGTTTGTCCCTAGTGCCTGCCTGGTTGAAGCTGGTCAGTGGCTCCATGTTGCCTTCAGTTTTAAGTTCAAGCTCTGCATTAAGCTCTCTGTATGTGGCTTTCCATTATGCAGGCCTTACTTAATCTTCACTTTTCTCATCCTTCTTCCCATCATATCCTTTAATGTACCCACAATGAATTGCTTGAGATTCTTTTGATGGGCTGTGTACTTTCATCCCCACAAAGCACCTCCCTAAAAAAACTCTCTCCACTACCAATACCCTTGAATCTACTATCACTTTTGATCTCCAGGTTTTGGTTGCTTGGGTAACTCCCATGCATTCTCCAGGACTCAGCTCCAAAGGTGGAATTTCCTGATCATTCCCCTGCCACGTCATGGGCTAAATTAGGATCAACTCTGTTTTCTCAACTCTCATCTTACACACATGTCTGTCATAGCATTTAATTCACATCTCCAAGTCCCACACTAGATACATAACTATAACCATAAAGCTATGGTTAAAGGAAATGTCCCCAATGATTAATGTTTATTATAAATTAATGATTTGTGCATATTTCCCAGGCCTATCACAGGGCTGATATATAATAATTGCCCAGTATATATCGTGTGTTTCCCTCAAAGCTCACCTGGTAAAGAATCTGCCTGCAATGCAGGAGACACAGGTTCAATTCCTGGGTCAGGAAGATCCGCTGGAGAAGGGACAGGCTACCCACTCCAGTATTCTTGGGCTTCCCTTGTGGCTCAGCTGGTAAAGAATCCACCTGCAATGCGGAAGACCGGGGTTCGATCCCTGGGTTGGGAAGAGCCCCTGGAGAAGAGAAAGGCTGTCCATTCCGGTATTCTGGTCTGGAGAATTCCATGGACCATATAGTCCATGGGGTCGCAAAGAGTCAGACACAACTGAGCGACTTTCACCCACTCGCTCATATATTGTGTGGGATATATGAAAAAGTAAAAGAGTATAATTAACCTTTCCAGCTATGATGAAAGCAGTGAGCAAATACAAACATTATTACTCTGTCTCATTTTTGCAGGAATTACAACTGTGCTAACAATGACCACTATCAATACCCACCTCCGGGAGACTCTCCCTAAGATCCCTTATGTGAAGGCCATTGACATGTACCTGATGGGGTGCTTTGTCTTTGTTTTCATGGCCCTTCTGGAATATGCTTTGGTCAACTACATCTTTTTTGGGAGGGGACCTCAACGCCAAAAGAAAGCAGCTGAAAAGGCTGCCAGTGCCAACAATGAGAAGATGCGCCTGGATGTCAACAAGGTAGGTTCAAAGGGCAAGCCCTCCTTGCTTCTTAAAGTCATAGAAGAATGCCTGCCATATAGGTTCATGGTCTTGTTAACAAATGAGAAAATGAAAGGCCGGGGAAGACATCATTTGTGATGGAGACATAATCAGGCCCAAATTTATGACACAACATTTAGATGCCCTTTACCTTAAGACTAGGGTGGCCCAAACTGGTCATCTGAGACCACTTTTGTGACTTTTTCCATTTATGAGTAGAATGTGTACTATTATTTACTTTATGTTTATCTAAGTTTACTCATTTTATCTAAATTTATCTGTAAAGGAAATTTCATATCAGTTATATCAGTATTACTTGCTGGAAGATAATCTTAGATGAAACTACCCTATTAATTCTAGTTTATGTTACATAGAGGCTATGGGCCCGAGCGCTGCATCCTCTTTGATTTAAAAGAGAAATAAGCAAGTATAGACGTGTGTTAAAGACTCACCAGCAACAAACTGACACTTGGTTTGTGAAGTCATCAGATGGATAGAAAGAGAAGTGGAAGGGGAAAAAAAATAACTTTCTAAGTGACAGATAATTAGTTAATGCCTTTCACATTACCACCTTAAATCCTTGAAGCATTTGAGTACAAGAGGCCACCATGTTGCTTAAGTCAGGCATAGTCAAAAAACAATTTCTACACAATTTTAAATCCAATCTATTCTCTAAAGCGATGGTTCTCAATCTTGGGTTCCCAATCAAATGACAAGGAAAGTATTAAAAATTACTGAAGCTTGGGTTTCTTCCCTGGAAATTCTGATTTGGTTGTCCTGGGGTATGCCTAAGCATCATAATTTTTAAAATTCACCTAATATTATTCTAATTTGAATTCAAGATTTAGAATTTCAATTTTGAGCCTATTGATAGCAGTTCCAATAGATCTACCTGTCTGTACTTCAAAAATACTTCACCTGGCTTCCTGTTATGTAACTTTCTGCACTGAGCAGAATATTTATGCACATGCTTTCCCTGAGTCCAAATTTAGACCCTTCAAAATATATGAGAAAAACAAGGTCTTATTTTAATATATCCCATAAATAGTGTTTATAAAATAATATGTAATGTGGATTTGATAAATAGGTCATAGTGATGGGACTAAGAAAATGGTAGTACTTTTAAGCCATCTGGAATTGTTAACCATCCAATAATTATTTAATTGACATTTTAATATTTATAACTTCAATTTAATTCCAAGGCTAGCATACTGTAAATCATCTCTGCCATTGAATTTTATTTGGAGCAAATCCAGTGAAAATTTCTGACTCACTGATGTTTTCCATATATCCATAGGTCTGATATTTGATTTTGGGCTATTCTCAATAATCAAAGGCATTCCTTTCCCAGGAGATGATATTCATAATAATGCAAATTTTAAGTGTGGCCTTATAAGTCAGTGAACCACAGGGTCTAGGAAGTTGTCAATCCCTTTTAAATGCTCTGAGTTTCAGTTATTGGAATCTGTTAATAGATTCCAAGGTAGCATTATGGCCCTCTCAGGCTATCAAATGAGAGAAGGCTTTTTAAATCCATTTTATGATTTTCCTGATAAGAGTAGCTTTAGTAAAGAAGAGAAAATGAATAAATAAATAAAACTATCTCATAGGACTGCAGTTTGAAATGAGACTCAATCAATTGCCTAATGCAAGGCTGAGTTGAGATAACATCTGATCTCTTTTTACTTTCATCTACCCTATTTTTTACCTATCAATTTGCATTTAAATGATACATTTAAGTACCAGAGAGTGGCAGTTTTGTTGCAGACTGAACACTGGAGAGCTTCAGATGGTTTTAAATTCAGTGTACAAGATGGAGGTAGGGAATGGTTCAATGGGCAGGTACCCCATAGTGATGCAGAACCCATCCTCTTGGCTAATGTTGCATCTGCAAGTCAGAGCATAGAATGTGAGAGAACAAAAAAGATACCAGAGTTCTTCTAGTGCAGTGGTTCTCAAATCACAGGCAGTTTTGCCCCTGGAAGAGCATTGACAATATCTGTAGAGGTTTTGGATGGTCAGAACCAGGAGGAGGGGATTATCACTGGTATCTAGTGGATAGAGGCCAGGCGTGCTGCTGAACATCGAATAGTGCATGGGACTGCCTCCACATGACAATTATCCAACCCAAAATGTCAATCCTTCTGAAGTTAAAAAAAACCCTGTGCTATGCCAATCCTCTGCTTTCCAACCTGAGAAAAACATAAGATGCTTGTCCTGTTCTTAAAACTCTTTAGCATAAATTTTATGAGTTGTTTCTCTGCTTTCTCAATCAGCATGCATAACATCATGGTATCAGGAGTTACCATTTAGCACAAAGTTCTGAACAAATATTTTTGAGTCAGGTTGGACATTTACCATTTAATAGTTGTGTGATAATAGGCCAAAAAACCCTCTCTGACCCTTCAGTTTTCTGATCTGTAAAATGGACTTAAGTCCTTTTTCATCAGTTATTATGAAGTTATGATAAAATGTAGAGAGACTAGCATAGTTCAAGCATATGACTGGCACTAGGTAACTGATGAATATTAATACAATTATAAGCATAATTATTTTTTAAAATAAAATTTACAATCTCCAGTCCTATTAGTGGTACTTGCCTGTGCCTTTTACATGCTCTGATATGTAGGATGAAATCCCATCCCTAAAACAAGAGTATCATCTACAGAGGAATGTTTCACATTGGAAGTTTTAAAGTCAAAGCAAAGAAATCATTTTTCAACAGATACTAGCTATAAAATCTATAACAGACCAACCAAAAGCTGTATCAGTTATTTCTTAGGCCAGAATACTTACAGCCATTTGATTAGGTTTTAAAAGGTAACTACCTAATACCAGACTCCTTTTTTTTTTCCTTAGCCCAGCATGAAAGGTTAGAGGAGACCCACAGAGGACTCTGCACAATGCTGTCTTTCTTGTCAGCATTATGAATAATGCTACTTTCATTCTTATCAATAATGTTGCTTCTTTTCAACTGTAATTCTACAGTCATTTTTTTTTAAAGCTCAGGCACATATTATCAACTAAGTATTGTTGGATGCTCTGGAGAAATCAGTCATGAGGAGAAGGATTCACTTTTATAGGTTCTGTTGATAGTTTTTTTAAGAGACAGAGGCAGCATGTCAGATAATCTAAAGTGATTTTTAAACTGTTCTGTGTCCTGAGGTCAGAGAGGAATGAAAATGGGAAGCCTAGCCAGGTGGGAGCCCACTCACTGTTGCGCAAAAGTGTACTTCCAGTTTTCTAATCTCTGTATAAGCTTCCTGTAAGGTCTTATTTTAACAAGAGTATCTGCAGCTCTTAGAGCAATCCTCAGCCTTGTGTTTAAACTGATGCAGAAACTAAAGCTCTTAAGGAAAATGAAGTAACCAAGGTAGCATAAGAGAGTTAACAAGATTTCTGAGACCATTCTAGGTTTTCCAGTCCTTATCGAATAAAATTTAAAAGTCAGTTCCACATTATCCATATTTTCAGTTCAATTAACATCACCTAAAATAAGCCTGTCTGTCTATACACAGGAATCCATAACTGACAGTCACTATTACTTTCACAATTGTCTCCATGTGACAAATTAAATTGTAAAATACTAAGATTTTTAAAAACAAACCTCAAACTAGTAAGAGTTCTACTGAATATTTTTCCCAAGCATCTTTAGGAGTAGTTAAAAAAATGCAGTCTCTTTTTCAAATGTTAGGAAAGCCCTCCTGTTACACCTTGCATTCTTCTCTTGTGTGTGCCTGTAGAATTTTCTGTTGATAATTTCAGCCACTTCTCTTGTTTATGCCTCCAAGTTTTAGCTCTTTTTTTCTTTTAAGCTTCATGTTGTTTTCTTGTTTATTTTTCTGCCAATAACTAGGTATATATATTTTTGAGAATTTAGTTACTTCATCTTTTCAGTACCATTATTCTTGGATATGTGAATTGCCTGCAGTATACTTATTGTATTGAGAGACCCACAGCCATCAATTTTCCAAATAAAGCTGCGCTGAGAATATCTCTATTGGGGGGGACATCCTTCATTCTGCATTCATGGGTTTTATGAGTCTCTAAGTTCTCTTTTTCATTGAACCTAAGATCTTTTAAATTTACTTATTTATAATGTTTGGAATTAGATTTTTAAGTGATACATTAAAAAGATATAACTATTTAGAAGTCCTAGTTTCTGTTAACATCGGTCTTTCTAAAGGCCAGTAGCATTTATCTATATCCAATTTACTTTAACCACCAATCCTAATCTAGTGGCATCAGTCGACTTAATTAGCACATTCTCTACTTTGTCTTCCAGATTTTTTATAAAGATATTAAACAAAATGGGACCCAATATCGATCCTTGTGGGACCCAACTGGAAACCTCTCCCCAACTAGACGGACTACCAATTACGATTTCTCTCTCTATACGGTTAGATAGCCAGTTTTTAATCCATTTATTTGTATTTCTGTTGGAGCCAATTTGTTTAGCTGTTCCCGTTAAAATAATGTATGGGGTTTTTACAGATAACCTATGGACTTGTATCCATAGAGATGTGGGAATGTGTTCAACGTTTTTGTGGGACCCTATTGGGATTTTCCTGTTTTTTTTTTTTAATGTAGTTATGATGAACCTAAGCTTCAGTGTTCCATTCAGTCATTATTGTTGTGCTAAAGAAAGAAACCAGATGGATCATGTTTTGAGAACTCCTTTTCATTTGTATTGAGAACATGGAGTGTCATTATATGCCCCGGCATTTCTTAGTTTTCTTGTGTTTCTTCTGGTTGATGGAATAGGTGGAAAATTATAGCCCTTCCCTAGGTTGGCTCAGAATTCAGGAGCCTATATTTTTCTGTCCTAGATTATTCATTTGCATTTGAGAATGTTATGTTTGCATCAAGTCCTTATTTCTTTATTATTATTTATATTTTACAAATAAGTATTATCTCAGCAGGCCCAGTGTTGCTATAATGATAGAAAAGAGGCAGTAATTGAGATTGTTTTTTTGTCA